GGTCCAGTGAAAGGCGGTGAGCGCGTGAAAAACGCGTTGAGCAGAAGAGCGGGTTGGTACACTGACCGGAACTACTAAAAAGCTACGGGGATACCATCAAGCAGCTTTTTCTCTATTGCCTACGTCCATAGACTAGATAGCTAGGTCAAAGAACGTGGAAAGCCTTGGCGAAACTACTGTCTTGTATCTGGGCCAGGCAAGGCAAGTACGTCAGGCCAGGCAAGCTGAACGAACACACAATCGTTGCGGTGCGCTCGCGGAGCGAAGTCACATGACGCAGTGCTAACAGCTGATTGGTTTACATCGGTCCGCAACTTGGTATCAGCTCCGTCTCTCTTTGCTGCTGTGAACAGTCAGTGAAAACCTAGAGTCAAACCTGTTACAGTTCACATTGTCGATTGTGTTTTGTGTGAGGATAAAAATTTAATTATGTCGATGCCACCACATTTTTTGGGCTCCATGACGCTGAAGGCCCTTCTCGAGGACCCTAACCTGAAGAATCCACCTCTTGTTGCTCAATGTAAGTAACAATGTAAGAAAATTTACCATGCCTCCTCCATGCAATTCTCCGTCAGTCTGCTATTATTGAGATGGTTTTAGACGAAATTTACTTTTAATATTTGCTCAAATTCCCCCCAAAAGGAAGTATTTCATTCATTCTGATGAATGTTAAATTCAAAAAATGTTTTGAGGCTCAAAAGTGTATTAATTTGTTAGAATCGTACGGTATCGGCGGATGCGAGGGCCTTGTTTACAAGAGATTTCGCTCGGTCATGCTTCTTGCAACGTGAGGTCCAGCTGTGACGTCACGTACAAGGTTGTTTTGTGCTATTTTTAGCCTGGCTATCGGGGTGTTGGTGTCCTCACGTGTTAAGTGGGGTGGATACTTGGGGCTGGCGAGCTGGGTCTCACGTACAGAGAACTCGTCGATAGATATCTATCAATATATTAAATGATCACGATAAATTATATGAGGCATGGTTGGTCGTTGCTTTTCCTTGCAAAGTTAGAAAAGGTTAGGTTTTTTTGGTTTGTTTTGTTACTGTATTATGTTGTTTGTTTTCCATGTTTTTGTTTTATGGGGGG